TTTTCAATGCCAAAATTGCATCACAAATTCTATATGGAGCTCCAATCTGGATCACATTTGCCAATAATAACATAACACAATTGCAGGCAAATACAAATGCAGAAACTGCATAGCCAGATCTAGCCTTAGGTTTGTAATAAAAGATGAAGTTCATGGAAACTGCATGCTAGAGGATTTTGAATTTAGACAAGCAAGGATGAGGATTTCCTGGTGTTGATATTAGATTATTACTCCTGGCATAATAATCTAAAGGGTGCATTTACTTTTCAGCAGTGTTGAATATATTTGTGTATGTAAAGTATTTTTTTTTTCTCCTGAAGCATATATTGGAACAATTGTTCTCCATCTATGACAAGTGGCGCCCTTTCATCATTTGTGCTGCTTGGTGCTTTCACTGAAATGGTACTTGCAAAAATAATCAGGAAGATTAAAATAAGCTGGATGAGAAAAAGGAAGGAGTTCTTGTTATCTAAACTATCTAAACAAGAGCTGCAGTCTCACACTAATGAGGACGTGAGAAGAGAAAGTGATTTGATAGAAAGAAATGATTTTCTGCTGGCAAGATTACGTGAAGGATATAGAAGAGAGCACAATTTGCTTATCTATATAGCTATATTTATCCATATAGCATTTTGAACTCAATAAGAGAAGCTAAGTAAAATATAACTTACCATTATTACACCACAGTTTAACAGGAGTACTCCTACAGTGCTTTCCTCTGTGGCAAATGAATTTGCCACCCTTCTCCAAAATAGCTTTATTGCCATTATCCTTCATACAGGTATCACTTATATGATTTCCGTTCAGAGTCCAGTAAATACTGTCATTGAACTGGCCACCTATTTCACAGGACAGGCTGATTTTTCCATCAGGCAGACAATGAATATGAACAACTGGAAGCAGATATAAATAGTGGGGTGGCAATAATCAGGCAGGAGACAAGAATTCAAAAAGTTATGGCAATAATGTTGGGTGAAAGATAAAAATTATGATATAATCAAATAAATAAAAATCAGTCTGGTCTAGCTTTCATAGGAAAATATATCAGAACTTTTCACTGGGCAGTTTTACAAATGTAAAGCTTATATACCAGCAAAAAACTTTACCACATTTCATTTTCCTGTCTAGAAGTTATACAATATCTCCCTTTATTCATATTCAGTCAAAACCAAATTACTATATTTTTCATTAAGCTTCTGTCAGCTTCTTCAGATAGAAAGATTACAATTGCATATACTACTTGGTAAATCCTCATAGACCTTTTCCTGCTCTGTGCTTCCTGAAAAAAAAAAAGTCTGTAAAAAAGTTATTTCCATACAAATGTTGTTCAGAAAAAAAAAAATGAAATCTAGGAACTTTGTAAAGTAAATCACTTGATTAATACAATATTTCCAAATATGTCATAGTATGTAGTTAAAGGTGAACTATAATAAGGACACTATAATGAAGGTACACTACAGCTAGTCCTCAGGTTATGACCATTCAAAATTATTACGGTGCTGAATGAATGGTACTTATGACTGGCCTTCAGAGTTCCAGCTCTCATAGCATCCCGATGGTCACCACTCATGATTACAACATTGCAGCAAGCTGCAGTCACGTGATTGAATTTCTGACGTTTCTTGCTGTCTTACCACAACCAAAGTCAATGGGGAAGCCAGCAGGAAGTCATAAGTCACAGTTACATGAGGTCCTGACTTAACCCACATGGTCCTTGAGAAGGCAACCAGAACTTCTGGAATTGCTGTCACTAATCGGCACATGACATCACACTTTTCAATGCATCGCTTAGCAATGGCAATTCTAGTCCCAATTGCCATCTTAAGCTGAGGACTACCTACACTCTACCTTCAGGTGAGAACTCCCACCACATCCTGGCTCATTTTTCCCTCCATTTTCCTGCTGAAGGCAAGGCATATGGTTTCTAAACATCATTTCATTCATTTTTAAATTAAACCAGTGTTACCTTCCCAGTGAAAACAAACACAATGAGGTACTGATGAAGATTGGGGTGGGGGGAATGAGAAACACTGTGGAGACTAACTTTTGTGTTCTCCACTGGCCACTTGTGTGGAGTACTGAGTGTAACAAGAATGGCAATGATGAGAATACTGAAGAGTGGTGTGATGTTCCTCCTACTTCATCAGGCATCTGTTCTCTGCATCTATGACTTGTCAGCCAGGCTATTTTTAGACTCCAGTTAGCTGTCTTTCAAAAAAAGCATTAGACCCATGTTCAGAAATAGCCTGGCTGACAGGTCAAAGGCAAGGAGGAAGTATTATGAGAGGCTTCTGGGTGTTCCTTCCTGCCTCCTTCATGCCTGTGACTATCAATTAACAGACATAAAGAAAGGGCATGGGTCAGGAGGGAGTGATCAATAATGAGTGAATTCCATCCTTGACTGCCAGAGAATGGCAGTGCTGTCAGCAAATGGTCATGCTTGCAGCATTTGGAAGTAGCAGGTTAAATTGGCAAAAAAAGGCACACTCGCCAACAAAGTAATAAATACAATTAAAAGTATGGCCACAGGAAACACCTTGTTGACAGAAGTAGTGCAAAAACTAAAGCACTCATTCATGATAGAACCCAGCTGCCTTTCCTGGTTTAAACTGATCTTTTTAACAGCATTTTCTCAAGTCAGCACTTGAGAAAGGAGCCAGTGCAGGCATTAGATAGTGTAGGTGGATGGTTCAGAAGCCAGGTGTCCAGCCTCCCCTGTGCCCTAGGTCAAAATGACCATTGAAGGCAATGCCCAGCAACTGCACAGAAGGGTCTGTGCTGTAGCAGCATAAAGTGTCCAGTGACAGCTGAACAGATCCCCTGACTCCTCCGTCAACCACATACTCAGTGAAGAATGCTGGATTGTGTACAGAGCAGAAATTGGGTCAGAACAGGAGGGAACACACTATAAAGTAGAGAACTAAACATGAGTTGAACTGCCTCAACTGTGAGCTCAGGATGAGATGAAGCAAAACAATATAAGGAAATGTCATGTAAAAATAGATAATGAGGAATATTCATGCAAAGATTAGGGTGACATGAAAATGAGCCCCATCATTCAAATACAGCAATCAAATGTGTGGCATGGGGCTATTTAGCAATCATAAGGAGGAACTATATAAGCAGAACCAGAAGAAAAGGTGCTTTGAATAAAAAGCTGCCCCTTTTCACAGCCTGTTTCCAAATGCACAGGAAACTCTTTTCAAATACTTCTTTGTCTAGCTCAGTGACAGCGAACCTATCGCACAGGTGTCAAAGGTGACATGCCATGATGTTTTGGGTGACATGCCAGCATTCACCAACACCCGACAACAACTATTTTCCCTGTTTCGGCTACTAAAGAAACTGAATTTGCCAATAGAAGAGAATATGTGTAGCTCAGGGTTGAACTGTGGAGTCCGTGGGGTTCTCTGAGCTTGGTTGTTTTCTTGCAAATAATTCATTACCCAGCTAGGAAGATCAGCACTGAAGATGTTACCTAGCTTGGTAATGAAACGTTTGCAAGAAAACAACCAAACTCAGAGAACCCCAAGGACTCCACAAAACTGTATTTGTTTTACCTTTATTGCATTTTGTAATTATTTGATGTTTCTTTATATAATACCAGCACCACACATGATTGGACTAACGTGTATTTTTTAAAATAAATGAATATGTAAAGAATTGTTTCTCTTTTGTTCAGGGGCAGGGGTGGTGACACGCCAGCACAGTCAAGTTAGGCATTTTCCAAATTTTTGACATGCTGAGCCCAAAAGGTTCACCATTACTGGTCTAGCTTGATATAGGAGTGCTTTTGACAAAAATCTTCTTGTACAGGGTTAGTTTTGTTTAGTAAATAAGACATGCATGCTTATGTGGGCATTTGGTTTGATTCCTCTTCTGCATATAATAAAAATAAGAATTTTAAAAAATTGAAAAATAAAGATGTACTGTATATGTGGTTAGAGAAAGAAGACTGCTTTTTGTGTGGGTGGAGATAGAAATTGCCCCTTTATATTGTAAATCCACTATATGTGCAACTGTGTACCCAAAGTGCATATTCAGTGCAATTCCTATGTTGAAGGGATTAAGAGTGACGCTTATTCTGTGCAATTCCAAAGAGAAAATGCTATTCTGAGAATTCTCCCTCCTTTAAACTATAATACCTTATACCTGAATTAAAGAAGGAAGCATTTCCATTTGTAACAGTCCAGGGCTAGGCTTGTGTATTCAGAAAGCTAGAGGAAAAATAGTGTGGTTCATAAATACAGCATGAGTAAAAAGCCTTTTAATTGTTTCAAATCAGTTGATTTGTGCAACAACTTTTTACTGTAATTTGTAATGACCAAAAAGTTTCTGTTCCTTGTTATACAGAGACAAGGATGACAAGTTCACATAATTTTTCTGCAAGGAACTATACACTTTTAATTTCAGCTCAAATTATTTTGGGTACATGGTAAAGCCAATCATCTGAAATGTCAGTAACAAGCTCCAGTCATGATTTAGCATGTCCATATGGAATCTGCTTTGTGAACATAAAGATAGTTGAAGTTATAACTGATTGTTCAGAAGACCAGTTTACTAATAATAGGCCACATGAGGTAATGATGGTTGCCAGTTGAATACAAAATATTTTCTCTGTCCTATAGCCTTTAGGCTCCACTGTGTTTAAATTTAAACACAGGTTAAATTCAAATTCAGGTTCACCTATCTGCTGATCACAGCCTAAGGCTGGATGCTTAACTGGAGTAAACACATTTAAGACATCAATACATATACCGTAGTAGGGACTGCAAATGAAGCTCTTAGATTTTGCCATGGTTGACTCCCAAACCATCCATGCTGTGGATACTTACCACAGCAAATAAAGGAAGTCTCATTTCCAGGGCACTTTCTTTTGTCTTCCTTTGACAAATTATATGCTATAACTGGGTGAGCATCCTTTGGTTCTGGTGAGGAATTCTTTGGAATGGTTGAATTATCGGCAGTACAAATCTTGCCTATAACAAAATAAAACACATTCACTGTTGTACTATTATTATATTCTGGGTTTTATATGTATCTGTCTTTGTACTGGCAAAATAGATAAAACGTTGGCATAGAGACAAGTATATCAACAGATGTTTGAAAGAGTGGTATTGCATCTGAGAATGAAAATGAAATACAAAAACATCTACATCACCAACAGAAAAAATAGTGATTATTACTAGAAATAGTATAGTGATTAAAATGATCTAAACATGATTAAAGAAAAAAAAACTAACAGAAAAAGATTAATCTAATAACTATAAATAACAATATAAAATTAATTCAATCCTAACATAATTCAAGTTTATGTTTAAATCTATAAATTTGTGTCATCTGCTCATTTTTAGAAGACAGAGATTTTCAAAAATCAATAATGAACCCATGGATCCAGTCCTTAAAATCAGGAGAATAAGTTTCTTTCCAGTTACATAGAATTATCCTCTTTGTGGGACCCAGGCCTGGTAGAGCCAAAGTTCTTGATGAGATGGCAAACTCCATGTTTTAGGAATGTAGTTCAACATCAAATTGACATCCTTAAATATGATATTTCTTTCCATGATTCTATTGCCATATAATTTGAAACCAAAACAAGGCTGTAGCTGGACAAGACCAAATTATATGAGTTAAAGAGCATTTCTTACAATACTAACACCAAAAAATCCAGTATCCAAGCTTTTTAAACTTTGTTTGTTTGAGAGGCACAGTAAATATGAATTAGTATTTTCTAGAGAATGAATTTTATTTTAAATCCTAAGAAGCATATTTCATATTTATGAATGCCTAGACCAATTGAGTCTCCCAAACTCAATAATCCCATTCTTCATTCCACAATTCATATAACTAATGCAAATTAATCATTATTAATATTAATATAATTAGTATTGATATTAATATTATAATGATGTAGACACATAATGTATGTATACTGTACATTGCCAAGCAAATGTTGTAGGTGAGTCATACTCAACGCACAATCTCTCAACATCTTTAAAACAACTACTGTATTAGCAATCAACTGATTTAAAATGTTAATTCCTTACTTAGCTCAAGCATTCCAATAAAATATCCTCCCTGCTATTTTCAAATTTGGGTACCACAATGTCAGCTTCTCATGTAATTCACTATCAAAAAGTAACCACTTAGCTATTAATAACTAAATTTGTCTGGGATATTTAGACATATGCTTCAAGGTGGAAAATGAAGAATTTGGGTTGGTATAACTGTACCCTAAAACTTTTCAAAGTTTTAAAGGTGTTATATACTTGCTCTCCAACTGGGTCAAGGAGGGGGAAAAATCATAAAAAGTCTCATTCCAAAACAAATAGATATCAAATGATATAGTTAAAAATCTGATACAATAAAGCTGTCATCATCAGAAGATATCCCCAGTTTAGCCAAGGATATCCTGAGGGCTTTAGCCTGCTATAAAAACATTTAATTAACTTATCTATCTTTATAGCATACAAATTGGCATTGGAGAAAAGAAGTGTCATTGTGATTGTTAATATAAAAGAGCATAGCCTTGTTCTTTTTGGAACAGATTTAAGGTGTTCATATTTCTTAGCTTATATGTTTACCTCATCTGAGGGAAAGTCCAGGAAGACAGAGGAATAACTATTTAAGGAACCTTACAAATACTGTAATTACCTGGTTGGTTTACTTATTAAGCTGCAATTTGATGTGATCTTACTTGAGAATAAGTCCCATTCTCTCTATATATATCTGTTTAATGCAAACTTTAATAAATTAAAAGCAGATGAGTTCACAGATCTCAGATTTAAATGACAATACTTGCTAATATACTGATGAAAACAAAACTACAACCTAAAAATAGCTCTTCCTTTGGCTAAAGTATTTAATATTTGAAATATATTACTTGTCTGCTTATTTGTAGAATTAAATACGCCTTATATTATCATTTGTACTAAATACTGGTATATATCATTATTGGTTGATTCACTGGCTTCAAAAAGCAGGAACTGTTTGGTTCACAGATTTATACTGATAACACAACACATAATAAAACCAGTAAGAGAAATAACTTCCATTGTTTAATATAAAATATAAATAAATAAGAACATGACCAGTGCATGTACATCTGAATTTAGACTTGTAACATTCATTTCTTATAATTCATAGTCACTGACTCTGGAATCATGAATGAACATATAAACAGATCTGGTGTTTCAAATTCAAAAGAACTTTAAGTATGATAAAACCTTGAAATCCATTTTTAAAAGCTACATACAACTGACCTAAGTGATTTGGGATGATTTTTCCTAGCATACTGAATTATTTACTCAGGGACATATTGAGAAAAGAGAAGGAGCCCTAAGAATCATGGTGTCTAACTTCCCTTTTTGCCCACTGCATTACATGCAAAGCCCTTCAATCGTTCTTATTTTTATTATAAATGCAGTAAGCAAAAGAACATGGTAAAATTAGTTTATGAGAAAAACCAGTCTTACTTTGGAACAATTATCCCTTTTTATGCTTTGATGATGATGACGCCAATATTTTGCTGACTACTGTTGACTCCTTTAAAAGAGGGGGGAGGGTCTGTACAAAAGCACCATTTCCATTCAGCTAGGCATTGTGCTAATTTTATAAAATAAAGTTCCACTTACCACTAGTAATGGTCAGGATTATCAGCATGCATGGCAGGGAAAATGAAAAACTGAAATCCATTTTAAACATCTTCTTGCACTGCATGCTGAGAAGATCTAGCTTTGCTGTTAAACCAATGTACTACTCAGGATATGATGTCAGAAGCAGTAACAAAAAAAAAAAAAGAAAGAAAGAAATGAAATAAAAAAAGAACAAATACTGGAGGGATCCAAGATTAATGTAGAATCAAAATAGAACGGAAAGTTGTTTGGTTGACTGACCTCATGCTATAGCCACATTAGCAAGATGATCTATTTCTATGGCCATATACGCAGGAAGTGGGGTGTGTAAGAGTAAATTCAGAAGATGAAATGACATAGTAATCTAAGCAAGACCATCTTAGCCAACAGGTCAAAAGTAGGAAAAATTCAAAGCAAATTCTGACATTATACCAGTTTCCTGTATACTTTTACTTTTCTTCTTAAATATAAGAAGTCTTTTCTTCTTAAATATATGAAGAATGTTGGAATTTTCTTTAAAAAACTCATCCAACTAAAGGTAATCATAACATAAATTGACTAAAAACAATGAGGCAAGCTTGTTGCAAACACTGTGTGTTGGGACAGAACCACAAAATTCTGTTGTATCTATTCATGTTGTACTGTATATAAACTCAGTCAATATACTTTAAGCATGAAGAACTTCCAAATCTGTAGAAAGAGGGCCAACAGGGAACGACTTGTTACTTATAAAGAATATTACAAGTCATAGTCGAAATCTGTAGTCTTCCAGATGTGATTGGACCCCAACTCTATCATCTCCAGCTAGCATGAACCATGGTCAGCAAAGATGACAAATGTCATTCAACATCTGGAGTAACATACATGCCCATGTCTCCATAAGTGAACAAACAGTATTTTCTATGAAATATTAAAATTAATCTATTATTGTGCTTTAGCATCCTGAGCAAGCTGACAACAAAAATAACTACTGGTTTGTGCAGGTAGACCTTGCTTAGTGACGGCCTCAGGCAGCAACCGTTCAAAGTTACAACAGTGATGAAAAAGTAACTTTGTAACCAATACCTGTATTTCCGATCTTCTCAGCGTCTGTGTCTCTCAGTCACATGTTCTCCATTATAGTCAGTTGGTATGCATTATCCTGTGCCTGACCCATTCTTTTTTTTTTTTTCTTTTTTCCTCACTCACTGAGTGCAGAGATTGTTTAAATAGTCGCAACAGTCGTACTTCTCCCAAAGGTGCTAATCTCAAGTTAACAAGCTCAGCACTCTGGCCTTAATTAGCTGGCTTGTAGCTGCTGCCTGTAACTGGCAAGATTTTAATCATTTTCACACTTTCAGCTTTTGTTTGCCTCCTAAGTGACTTGGGGCTCATAGCTGTAAGCACTCTAGGCAAACAGCTGGCACTAGCTCATTCCTTTCAATGTGTATTCCCCATTTTGTGCCTGCTTACTCTCTTGCAATCCCTTCCTCTCCAATGAAAGGAAATACAAACATTAATTCCCTTCTTGCTAATTATCTCAGTGCCAGGTTGAGCATTCCAAAGGATGGGGGAGTAGGGTAAAAGGGAAGCTGAAATAAAACCATAAGCACAGTCACATGATTTTCCACTTAGTGACCATGTTACTTAGCAATCAAGTTACCAGTCCCGATTGTGGTTGCTAAATGAGGACTACCTGTAGTTGGTCTATTCCAGAACAATTATGGTGGTTCAACATCTGCTGGGGCCTGACAGCATACAGAATATGAATATTCTCTTTTACAGACTAAAAAAGAAACATTATTGTAGATGAAATGTGCAGTTTACAATATAATATCCCCTGGCACCCTCTAGACAGGTTATACCATTCTCCTATAATTCCCAAATAGTAGTGGCATGGGGGGAAAACATGTACATAAGTAGTTATCTTCAAACTAATATTAATATCATATAAAATATGAGTGTATGTGTATCCATGTCTGTATATATTTGGTGAATTAAGCCAAAGAAGAAATGAAGGATTAAATGTCAGGCTGCTAAATGTAATACAGTTGCATTCTAGGGCCTTAGCATCAGAATGTAATTGGTTCCCTTTGCTCCTGAATTTGGCATATCATGCTATTGGCTCTTTTTCTTTGCTATAGCCCAGCTACCTTTGTTTCCTCTACTGTGATCATCACAGCAACCAAATTAATTTAATACAGGAAAAGTAGCAATAGTATAGTAATAGTTGTGTTGTCTTTCCATTATTAATACAAATTTATGTCGTGTTTATATTACAGTTGCTCAGGTATTAAATATATAATTGTGACTGATGGACAAAGAAATGTAACATGTACATCTGTTGGTGCAAATTCCTTTTGCAAATATTTTGTTGATGGTATATATATGCCACATTTGCATATATATTGATCAAATTGATCAGAGTGATACACATTTCCTTGTAAAAATACTATTTTACAAAAAATTAGGCAGAGTCAACTTTACAGTTAGCATGTTGGTGGATTCCGCACATTCCCCAAAAATATCAAACTCTGTTGCTGAAAGCTGTGGAACTGACTGAAGGTCAAGATAACTTAATTTTGTCTCTACTGCTCTCTCTTTAAAAAAAAAAAAAAAAACCTTCAGTGATCTAAGATGTGACAAAAATAGCCTTCTGTGAGAAGGGCAGTCATCTGAATCTCCAGACATCTGCAGGCCAGCACAGAGAGGAGAAAAGACATTTACAATTAGAAAGGCACCCATGGATGCCCTTGTCCTTTGTGTTTTAGATTTGTGCCAGCTCTATGCTAATAGGCTCTTCCTCTTCTCCCATCCTAAATAAATAGGTAGAAGAAGAGAATGGGATCTTGCAATTGTGCCTATGTTTGCACAACATCACGAGCTATAAAAGAGCCAGTCCCATTTTAACCTTGGGTTATTGCACAAACCCTAAATGTGTGGTTAGCTTATGATTCACGATGTCATGTGGACTTAGAAAGTGGTTAATTAAGTACAATGTGGTTCATTTAGTGTACTGAATGAACATAGCTTCCTTGTTCCAAGAATCCTGGAAGAAGTGAGTGAGAGGAGAATAGTTCTCTTTATTTCTTAAAAATGTCATTTATTCTGGCCTTTTCCAGATGTTTAATCAAGATGTTATGTGCTCATATCATTTATTGTTTTAAGTTAATAAATATCCTAATTTTCCTTCTGAATTTCCACAAATATTACCTCATATTTCCTTACTCTCCCTTATCCTAGATCTAATCATGTCCCATCAGACATATCTTTTTCCTTCCTCTATCTATGTTTCTCAGGATTGTTTCTCCCCCAACCTTCCATCCTTGCTGGTCTTCTTATGACATCTATTCTGAGAATAATCAAGACACAAGTGTGAAAATATATAGGTGGACAGAAAACGACCCAGGAGAAGCTTGCAGTCAGGTTGACTTCAGTCTAAAGAGACCTTGGGCTTCAGAGGAAGCTCCTTCTATTATTCTTATGTAGCAATGTCACATAGCAATAATATTCCAACCAGCCCTCATCACTGATAGCTGCCATTTTAATTTGCCACAGTGCCAGAGAGTGACGTTATATTAGGAACCTTATTAGAAGTTCAGATAATAGTTGACCCAAAATTTTGGAATAATGAGATAATTTATTTTTGGAGAGGGGGTTGGATTAAATTGGTGGTGAGCTCTGTTATTGTAAGAGCAAAACATAGCTTCAAGGTCCTTCTCTTGGTTCCAAATAAACATAATAAATAATACTGGACAGAGAAATTCCCCTGTACTTTCTTACAAATTCTCATTCAGTGTGAAAAAAGAGAATTTATTTCTGATGGAATATAATCTGCCTTTAATGAAAGGGAATTGTTTTAGAAGCTTTTTCAAAGAAGAGAATTTCAGAGCAATTCTTAGAGTGGAGTGTAACAAGATGGCAGAGGGAATATGTGAATATTGCACAATCATCTCTTCAGCAGTCTACTGTCTTCCTACATGCCCAATGGAATGAAATAATTCTTTCTCCTTTTTCAGTGGTGGTATTATCATTATGCTGCAGTGGAGTGCTGTCCTTGAGCAATTGTTGGAGGGATAGTCCTTCCAGTTTCTCTTTTCCATCCAACTGCTTTGTCCATTAATTTGGTGAAGAATTTGGAAAGACTTTTTATGTGTGAAACTAAAAACATATTTAAGATTTTTTCCCGAATTAAATATTTATTGTGTGAGGCAAATTCAAGCAGGTTGCATCATAACGTCTTAGGAGAATAGTTGGGTTTTGTCCTGTCCCCTCTCACTCAGAACTGAATTTCCAGTTTACCTACCACAAGCCACCCACCATTTTTGGAAGGCAAGAATGCATGGCATTGACCTCAACTCACTCATACTTCTATCCACCGCCAGTTGCTAATGAAATTTCCTTCTGTGGGGCTCCACATCAAAGTTAGTATTTCCATTCTTTGCTGGCTCAAACTGTGCTGTCCTCTTGCATGCTGTGCTTCAATTCCTTTAAGCAAACCCACCCACTTCAGTTGGCTACTGTGCCAACCATGGTCAAAGCAAAGGAAGGGGTTGAAATTCAGAAAAAGATTCCTTATGTCAGCTTTATTTTCAGCCATTTTATGCACTGGAGTCAAGCACCTGAAAGCTAAAGTATGGAAAATACTTTGATGTGTAGTAATCACCCAAGTAATCATTGGCAGACTCTTGCTCTTCCATATACAGTACCTTCTCTGACTCTATAAATCCACTTCTTTGAAACTCAGGCGTGAAATATAGGTAGGCACTATTGCATATGTGTGAAAAATAGATAAATAAATAAATAACACTTGATTTCTACAAAAAACATTATTACAACTCACAGAGGAAATTCAGGGCATAAAAGTTTGGTTTAGAGGAAAAGCAGTAAGTATTTAGTTCAGTACAATTAAGTATAAATTACCTGCTCTGAAGATATTTTTTCTATTCACTCATATAATCAAATCAAATCAAATCTTTATTACGGCCATAGTCCATCATAAGGAGGGTGGGGTACAGTCAATTAAAAAGCATAGAAACTAAAATAAATAAAAAGCATCAGACTCTAAAAAATTATGAAAAGCTAGAAGATATAGAAATATGTTATTAAAATATATATATATTATCTAA